CAAAAGCGGCAGCCGAATCAAATTCTTCTTTCGCCTGTTTTTGCAGAGCGGCAGCCCCGCGATCGAACTACTGCAAAGTCCGGGGTTTCCGAGAAAAGAATCTATATTAAGAAATGGAAACGACGTGTTSCCGGAGAAGTTATTGWAYGAGAAGTTAAGTTGYTTSAACRTMGAAGATGYCGRGAAAGATTCCGGGATCTTTCCCGACAATCTGTTCCTCGAAACATCAAATGYYTCWAGGAACGGCAGTTTTCCGAKKGAATCTGGAAGAGGGCCTTCGAATGCATTRCYGGARAGGTTGAGGAGTTCGAGTGCAATGCAGCTYCCGAGCTGTGCTGGAATTAYGCYGGARAAGTTGTTCGAYGATAGRTCCATGGCCAGAACCATGTYCATCTTGCTGAGCTCCGATGGCAGAGGTCCATCCAGYTGATTGTATGAGATGTTTAAATACAACTTCAGGCTGTTCAATCTTGCGAAATCACTYGGAATYRAACCCGAAATTTGATTATGCGAAAGGTCGAGAATCTCCAAGTTWACRCATTGTGCCAGGCTCGTGGGGATCRTTCCCACAAGCCTGTTGTTATGAAGCAAGAGTCTTCKTAGCTGCGARAGACTCGAGAATGYGTCCGGGATYGAGCCARAYAGTTGGTTTTTYGACAAATCRAGAAGACCCAACCGGGASRCGTTCCCRAAATCCGACGGGATTTCACCRGAAAGCGAGTTATTYGATAGGTAAAGRCGTTCGAGTTTCCCCATTTGGAATAGCTCATGCGGGATCGTTCYGTTCAGGAAGTTGCTAGACAAGTTGAGAAGGGTGAGGTTCAYGAGGTTCGAGATATTSSGAGGAATCYCTCCGGATAYCTYATTGTYATCGAGATGTAATTGGACCAGACTYTTGGAAAGATCCCCGATRATGTCGGGAATCTTTCCRTACAGTCTGTTTCCAGCYAGCTCGAGTTCTTGCAAATGTTGRGAGTTAGATAAAGYCGAAAAGAAYGGYTCGAGAGGGCCTGAGAAAYGGTTGTACGACAAATAAACRAACTGCAAGTTCGACAAGTTCTTCACAATCTCAAACGGCAATTCCCCTTCGAAAAAGTTCGATTCTAAATCCAACCATTTAAGCTTKGAGGAATTAGAAAGYGCWCGAGGAACTCGACCCGAAAGTTGGTTCGACCAAACGAGAAGAAACCGTAACTCTTTAACTTCACATTCTTCCTTCAAYGGAATCTGACCGCTTATCGAGTTATTCGAGATATCAACATACTCGAGCGCTGACGAGCCGTTACAAAAAAGACTCGTCGGTATCTCACCTACGAGCTTATTGCTTCCCAAATCAAGATATTGTAGCCGAAGGAGAAACCCAATCTCAAACGGGATTCTCCCTCGAAGAAGATTCGACGATAGACTTAACTGCTTGAGCTCCACGAGATACCCRATCTCTYGTGGAATCCCRCCCTCGAAGAAGTTTCTAGAAAGATCCAAAACCGTTAAYCTTGAAAGYTTGGAAATGGCTGGAGATATAATACCGTGGAGCGAAGCTCCACTAAGRTCTAACTCGAGAACAGAATCACGATCGGCATTGCACGTGATTCCAGTCCAGTTACATATATGGACCTGCGAGTTGTTGGTCCAAGGCTGGAGCACGTTTCCGGGGTCAGAAGTGACCTCGGAAACGAACATGAGAAGAGAAGCTCGGTCGTTAAAAATTCGAGCGTTTTTGTTTTCTTCTGCAAAAACGATCGAAAACAAAACTATTGAAAAGCAAAGGCAAGTGAAAGCCATTTGTGATAGGTTAAGAAATAAATGAATGGAAAGGAAGGGGAACAGGAGATGGATATATAAATGAATGGAAGGGAAGGTGATTAGAGTAATTAATCAGGGTTTATGCCTAACTCCAGTTTCTTAATATTTGGCGGCTTGACTTTTTGAAGTCAATGAATGAGCGTCGGCCGCGTGTGAAAATACGATACGTTGTATTCGCCAGTAATATGGTGACAGAACTTCCGGTCCGACAAGTTTACAACTCCGGCCAATAGAACCGGCCTTTTTCCTCTCCGGTTTAAGTAAAAATTCGAGATTTTTTTTAGTTTTAATTTTATTCTATAATACAGTTAATTGTGTGTGTATATATATATACTATGTTTTAAATACAACTCATTACATTTGTATAACAAATGTAACTCAATCAATTGAAGTATTTATGGAAATGATGAGAGTTTATTTATTATGATTTGAATATTTATGAAAGATGATTATAGTTTATTAATTATAATCAATAAAAATATTAAAAAACAATCAAAACTTTTGTAAAATCACATGTTCATCAAATTATATGGACGGTTGTGATTTAATTATAATAGTTGTATAAATGTAAATGATTGCATAATAAATTCATCTGTTTATATATATAAAAGACAAGTGGTAGTAAAGATGTAATCGGGCCTAACCTTAAAAAGAAGTGATTTATTTGTGTTGGTGGATGGTCAGTTGTGTAAAGATTAATTATGTTTTGGAGTTTACATTTGGATTCATTCTGTTGTGTTGGTGTTTCTTGATTCAGGTGACGTATGATGATGTCATCGCCATGGTCCAACTCATATTTCGTTTCGTGTGTAAATCCATTCACTTTAAAAACGATCTTAATACAACAATATTTTCAACAGATGTTTTAAATTCGAGAAATAAGGATTTTGCATTTTTTTTTAGTTGACTTTTTCTAGTCGTTTTCGTATTTTTTTATTTGACTTTCTACGTTTGAACATCCCCACGTATATAATAAGGGTCCGTTTGGTTTATATGATTGTTTTTAGCAATTTGGATCTTGATTGGAATGAATTTGAAAATATTGGTGTTTTAAAACCTTATTGCATACAATCCTAATAAATCTCGTAAAATCCTTGAAGATTTCAAAATTTTATGTCTGAAAGATTTCAATTAAATCATAGGATTTCAAATCCAAACAATCCAACAAACCAAACATGTGATTGGAATGCAAACCCCCTAAATCCATTTCGTTCCTTCAAACAAAACGAGACCTGAATATTTATTTTTTTGATTAACCTGGATATCCAACCCGCTATGCGAGCCGACTAATCCCAGGACGACCACCTACTTTGCAAATAGCCCGGAGTCACCGCATTTGAACCTCCGTGGCCGGGATTTTTATTCCTCCTTGGATTTGAATCTGGGACATCCTGATACTTTTGACTTTTGGAATCAAGCTCAAACCAATTAGGCACCACCTTTATGGTTAAGACCTGAATATTTTGTTTTAATAATATTAAAATAAAATGAATAAAGGTGATATAAACATGATGAATGGAGTTATTTTTTATAGAATAAATAGTAACCCACTATTTATTTGATGCATTTTGCTAAAGCTATTTTATATATAAATCATACATTAATTACTATAACCATGTAATGTAGCTCGATACATTTCAATTCTGAAGTCGAGAAAAGAGCGATCAATTGCAAACCACCCTTATTTGTGAAAACCTTACAAACCAATCTCATACATCAATTTTCTTGATCAATAGTCAAGATTAACTGTGTTTATATTATGAAATAAAAACAAAAATAAAAATAAAAGTTTAAGTTTTAATTAAAAAAGGGCAAATTTGTCAAAATTTTAATTTATATGATTTTGTAAACGAGGTAACAAGATCGTGGATATCCTAATATTAATAAACAAAATCATTGTTTTAAAATCTCTATATATTATTTTATCATTACAAAGATTTTAACCAAAAATGTTAGAATAATCTGACAAATTAAATATTTGATAAAAATTATCTTTATTTTATGATTAAATATTATAAATAAAATAACATCCACATTAAAAATAGATCCAAGTAAGAAGCAATAAAACTAGATATATCCTAATAAATTATGAAACATAAAAACATACTTTAATCAACAAAAAATAATGAATCCTTTTGAATACTAAACATAATATTTTGTTTTTCTAAATGAGTGAATGAAACTGTTTCACTGTTTATGTTATGAACTCACGTGACTCCTTGTCACCTACAATGAATGATGAACCATTTAACATGTGGTAGTGAACAATATATGAAACTATTTCATTAACGGTTAATGAAGTAAGATTGGACTCTTAATAATTTCTAATCAAACTAATTTTAAAACAAGAGATATCCTAATAAACGACGAAACATATAAAGAATGAAACATTTTTGAAAACTAAATACTTTATTTTCGTAAGTGAAACTTTTTCATGCATAAAACATTTCGAAATTTAATAAATTAAATTCATCAGTGAAATTATGTTCATGGTCACTATTGACCATGACACTTGTTTCATTACTCAAACTACATATATTTTGTCAATGAAACGAAATCAGATTTCATATTGTAGTACTTTTACAATTCATATTTTAATAAGTATAATTTAATAAAATAATAAAAACTATTAATGGTAAAAAAAATTATATTAAGAAAAATTGATTTTGCACCTTTTATATTAAATGTTTTTTATTATTACGTTTCCATAATTAAGAGTAACTATTACCTTCTAATATTAATCAGTATACAATTAAATGACCATTATACTCTTATTTATTAAAATTTAAGAAAAAAACGGAATTTTCCTATCGATCGAAAATGGTTATTAAAGTTTTCATGTATAGAAATCTTAAAGAGATAATGTGGTCCAAATGCAAGTGGTTCAACCAAAAAAGCAATGAATATAATCATTATTTTATATATTAAACAACGTCTGGTGAATTTACGTCTGTTGACAACTGAAATTCACCAACTTTTATTGTAAAAAATGGAAACCGATATTCTTATCTTATTATAAAAACTAAAAAAAAAAAATGTTCAAAATTGTTGTTTGGTGATAGTCTTGTTTTTGACATCTTAATTTACTTGTTAAAAGTAGCTTTATGTTCTTATATTCTATTCTTTATTGGTTATTTTATTTTGAGTTTTAAAGTGCGTTTGTTTTTAAGAGGTGTTGAAATCTGAAGTCTTATTTCACTTCTGATTAATAAGAGGTGGTGCTGAAGTATGAAATCTGGATCAGTAAGACTGTTTGTTTTTCTAAACTGATAAACGTCTGAAGTCTGAAATCTGAATCAATAGTTTGTTTTTGTAAAATCAAGTGCAAAAGTTTTGCAAAATTCTCTTGATTTTCATAAAATTTTTGTTGCCAAAATTCATCTCAACAATTTCTTAACAGATGGAATATAGTAAAAACTTTTTTGATACCTTTCAGACTTCTGATGTTATTGGGAATGCTATTGGTGAGTTTGTTTGTGGAAAGATCGATACTTTTGATAAAGGATAAGATCGTCGATAGAAGTTCTTGTTTCACATTAATCTTCTAAGTTAACCTATACATACATAAACTATATGTATATATATATATATGTATATATATATATGTATATATATATATATATATRTATATATATATATATATATGTATGTAGAGGAGTGATCATATGAAAACCGCCCTCATTTGTGTAAACCGTGCAAACCACCTTCATCTGTCGATTTCATTGTTTAATCTTATGAAATTTTTTCATGAAATTGTTTAATCTTGTGAAATTGTTTCATATAATACTTTTTTTGATGAAGTTATTTCATATATGGTTGTGAAATTGTTTCATATAATACTTAATGAAACTGTTTCATGTATTTCTCTAAAATTAAAATAATGAAGATGATAATATCTATGATTAACACCYTCCACAATAAAAATGATTAATCAACCTCTCATAATTACAAAAAAATGAACAAAATGAAAAATTATGATTGGTTGAATGCGGTTTGCACGGTTTGTACAAATTGAGTGGTTTGCATTTGATCGCTCCCCTATGTATGTATATGTATATATATATATATATGTATGTATATGTATATATGTATGTATATGTATATATACAAAGAGAGAGAGAGAGAGAAAGTGGGGAAGTACATTTCACATGGGTGATGAAAGGACAATGATGTCTTTGGTGGAGAAAGAAGCAATAGCCCAAAAGAATAAAAGAAAATGAAAAATAAGATGAATTAAGATATTAGGTTATCTCTTATGTATTCAGACCCTATTAAGCGATAAAAGGCTCTGAAAATAATAATAAAAACAAACAGTCTAAATTACAAAAAATTTGAATGAATCAGACATAAGTGGTAATTAAGAGCTGAAAATGAAAAAAACTAACAAGACTTAAGTTTGAATGTCTTACTACTAACCAAGTTAAATAAATCTGATATATCTTTCTCGAAATAAGGTATTGAGGCAGGACATACACATACATGTCCTCCGCCCTCATATTTTTATTGTATTAGGTTCATATCGTTTTTAAAGTACCGTGGATTATTAGACAAACTCTGGTACATTGAAAGCAATTTGTTAGGCGACTTGCACCAAATCCCGTGTGCAAGGTCGTCTCTAAGAGGCAGGATGGGTATAAGAATTATAAAATCACCACACAATTTTTGGGTCATTGTATTACACTAAGGGGCCGTTTACCAAATGCTTACTCGGGTAAGCGCTTACCAAGTTATATTATCTTACTGGATGAATATAGCAATGACCAAGAATCTTACCCGGTAAGAGCTAGGCAAAGACCGAGAGTCTTACTCGGTAAGTGAGTGCAATGACTCTTACCATGGTCAGCTCTTACCGGGTAAATTGTTGCATAAAAAGCCGTTTTTGTTGGCTAAAATCTTATCAGGTAATAAATAATAGTATTGAATTTTCCCGATAAGTGTTTACCAGGTAAATGTTTGGTAAACGGCCCCTAAATCTTTTTAGTATATATTAGTAGTCCGAAAAATTTAGTATATGAAAGAGATCTAAAAATATTTAGTAAATAATAAAGTCAAAAAGAATTTGTTAGATAGCAATAGCCCAAAACAGTATTAACTAATTACATTGGAGAATAAAACTAAAAGCAGTTAAATGGTCATCTGTTATATGTTATTCCTTATTATTTCTCTAAGTTTTGATGTGATACCAAGGTCCAATGCCATTGGCTATTGTTATATCTATTTGCTTATTCGTTTCCGTGGTTCAACAATTCAATGGATGACAACTTTGAGCTCATGTACTTGCTATTGTTATATATTTTTTATTGGCTACTTTTTATCTACTTATATTTCTGTTGACTATTGTTATCTGCTTATTTTGTTCGTGTAACTGCTCTTTTTGGCCATTGATATCTATTTTTCCTTCTATAATTAATATCGTAATATTGTTTGACAATCAGTTATTGTTTCTTATGAGTTATGATGTGTTTTCATGGTTTTGTGATTAATCAATAAATTTCCTTATTAAATGCATTCAACGAATTCTTTTTATGGAATGAGCCCATTATATTATAGAAAACCAAACAGTTTCTTTTATTTTCATTCTCATTGATTACTACTTAATACCTTTAACCAAACACCCCCTAAGTACTTTCCTATCTATAATAAACAAAAAAAGATTTCTTTCCTTAATTAGCATTTCTTGTATTCAATTTTTTTCGTACTCATCGAGGCCCCTTGTTTCTAGACACGCCCAGCGCTATAAAATACCGAGAGCAGCCCTGCCGGTTTGAGCTCGGCCTTGCTAACCTGCATGACATCTAGCTATTCTCAAGGTCTACCCATCTAGTTTAGCTGTTTAGGATAGAAAGACTTGCTTAATGATCTCCAGAACCAATTATTGAAAGGTTTCATCGAAGACTATGTTTAGCAAGATAAGTTAGTTGATAAACTAGTTACGGTTGGTAAAACCTAGCTACGTTTGGTAAAAGCTAACTAAACAACAATGTAAAACGACCTAAAAAGCTAGGGTTTATATGCAAAATATAAGGTGCATAATCGGAAAAAGTGGAAAAGGCCCCTAGAGCATACTGAAACACTACTTATGCCCTTAACAAATGAAGCTTTTACATAATGCTCAAAAAATAAGTTAGCTTATGGTTGTCAAATACTGGCATACGAGGGACTACGAGGGATGATCGAAGACAATTATACAGATAATATTAAGAGGGTAATTTCATTATAATTGTGATTGGCAAATTCTTTTCATTTTTTGGGATAAAGGGGAAAATTTTATTCAAGGGAAATTCTTGATATGAACATGAACATAAAACATTTACCGGTTTGTTTAGCCGCTCAGGCGTGGTTCTGGGATGGTATACTTGCAGACGTTGGTTCTGGAATGGTATACTTGCACTGATCATTAAAGGCTTCAGATCCCCATCTGTTTCATCCACAATGACCACTTAAGTGCCTCCAAAACCATATCATTCTTTTGCAAAGCAGTAATCAGATTAATATATGTTATTCTATCAGGTTCTATGCCATTTTTTCTCATTTCTTTAACCAGATCCACAGCATCTTCAACCATTCCTGCAATCCCATAAGCCTTAATCAGAGAATTATAGCTGTATATATCTGGTGCCACCCCAGATTCCTTCAGTTCCATTAGCACATCACCAACTTCTTCAATCCACCCTTTTTCTCCATATATGTTGATCATGATATTATAAGTATGAAGATTCGAACCACAATTCGATTCCTTCATTCTCAGCAGCACATTTTTAAACTTCTCCATTTCATCTGCTTTCCCATAAGCATCCAACATAGAATTATAAGCTTCAAGAGAAACAGAAAATCCTTTGAATTGCATTCTTCTAGCAACCGAAGCCATATTCCTCAAATCTTTGCTTCTCCCATATGCAGCCACAACAGTATTGTAAGAGATAATATCGACCAAACCTTGTCTTTTAGCCATCCAAAACACCTGTCTTACCTTTTTGAAAAGCCCGGATTTCCCATAAACGTCAAGGATTACATTAAACGTGGTGGTATTAGGTGAAAATCCGTGCTTAATCATCTCGTTGAATAGCCTAGAAAGCTCGTCGATTGGCAAAGCACGAGCACAGCAGTTTATGACACAGTTGTACATCTCTTGATCCCATGAAATTCCAGCCTTCAAGATTTTGTAGTAAAGATCAGCCAACTTATCTACCATCCCCAATCTTTGATAAATTCTAAGCATATCTCGAAACAAATATATATCTGGAACAATGCCCTTCTGTTTTTCCATGGCATCAAGAACCGAGCAGGCATCATTTAAGGATCCAGATTTCACATACATTCTTACAACTATGCTAAATGCTATCAAATCCAAAGGAACACCTGTTGATTTCAGCTTACTATAAAGGGCTTCTGCCACCTTAAACTGATTCAAACAACTATAAATATCAATCATAGTGCATGTGATATGCAAGTTGGGTTTGCCAGATTTCGGCATAGATGCATATATCTTGATAGAGTTATCAAGATAACCCAGCTCCTTACAAGTACAAATTAGTAAATGATATAGGCTATCCTCGAATACTTTATCTTTCCACTTTTTAATCCCCAGAACTTCAATTGCATCATCTACCAAGCCGTGTTTCACATAAGCCATCATAAGAATCGAACATGACGTTTGATTATTGAGAACATGATTGTAAAGCACACCTTTCACAACAGAAGGCACTTTATCAAACCTCTCCACCTTCTCATATGCTTGCAAAACGATACTGAGAATGGAGGAAAACTGGCATCCCATTGTCATCATATCATTGATGGTCCTAACAGCACCAGCTTCATCTCCATTTTTGGCTTGCAGATTGATCATTGTGTACAAATTTGATGAGTTGGGCTTAAAACCTAAGCGATTCATTTCGTTATAATACCGCTCTGCTTCCTTAAAGTTTTGTACTCGACCCCAACCTTCAATCATGGTCCTATAACTGGTCTCGTCAGGCTTCAAACCGGCAGAAACAAGATTCTGAAGAATTCTTTCAGCAGCCTCCATGTTTGAGACTTTCCCATATCCAGTTATAAGTGTATTGTAAGCAACAATATGAGGGGAGAATCCAGCTGCATGCATTGAGGCCAACACCTTCTCGGCTTCATCTAACTTCCCATTTCGACTGTATGCATTAAGTAAAACCAACCAATTTTCAAGATTCAAAATCACTCTATCCTTCCTCAAGAACCCAATAACCTCTTCTGCCTTCTCGTGTAACCCAAGGCGCGTATACATAGTGATCATAGCCGAGTATGCACTATGACATACAATGGTCAAATTTCTCATCTGTGAAAACGCAAACTCTGCGTCATCAATAACCCGACCCTTCTGGTAAAGACTCATAACCATGCCAAAACTAGCAACATTAGGCTGTACTCCTTTATCTAACATCATTCGAAACCATTTTGTGCCAATCTCCACAAGCCCCCGCCTTTTACAAGCAAAGATAAGCGTATTGAAAACCTGGAAACTGAGTTCACAACGTGAATCCATCTGCATCTCCTGAATCAACCTTTCTGCACCTTCCCAATCTTGTCTCCTACCCAACACCCTCAAAGCTAACTTGTAAGCATTGACATTCTGCATCAACTTACCATTGATTCTCATCCACTTGAAGAACTTTAAAGCTTCATCATCACGACCACTCCTCTCAAGCTTCTCCAAGATAAAGTTGCAGTGTCCCAAACTCGATTCATGTCCACTGGAACTTAGTTTCTCATAGAATGCATCATCATTTTCCTCATGATCCAAAATGATTTCTTGTTGGCTTTCATTTTCATTGGTGGAATTATGCATCACCTTCAAATCGCTGGCTACATTTTTCATACCATCCAATCGCTTCCATATACTCCTTTTCCCCTTCCTAAGCTCCCCATATAATTTAGGGCTTTGCAAAACCACATTCTCATCGCTCAAATCCACAGGTCTATCAACATCACATGATTGTAAAACATCCGAAAATTCCGTATCTAACCTAGAAACCCTAACTTTCTTTAACTTACAAAAGGAGTTGTTTGTCACACTAGTAAAGGCAAAAATCAATCCCCGATCACAGAACTGCAAAACGGAGTTAAGTTTCTTCGAATCACAACTATCTAAATGCACACAACATTTTATTGAAGCCATAACAAATTCACAAGCTACCTCTTCCCAGAAGCTGCTCGGAATTTCATTAACTCAATCCCGAATCCGAAGCAAATGCAAAGAAGTCGAATTACAATGAGAAGCTCGAATGGAAACGGGAAATCTGCAAGAAATTATGAAGATAGTGAAGGAGTGTTGGTCGTAGTGGAGGGATAATGGAAGAAAAATAACCGCAAATTTCTTGTCTGGTACAGGGACCATAGAAAAGATAACAGACTCGTACAACTAAAATAACAAGTAGAAAGAGACATAAACTTATCAGTAAGCAACTTTTTATGTTATTAAGTCACTACCAAACAGTCATGTATCGCTGACCAAATAAGTTATGAGTCTCGTAAAACTGCTAACATACGGACCATAATTTGTTAATATATTTACATCGGCACAGGTTTGGTTGAGAACCTGATTTCCTTTATGAACCGAGAATCAATGATAGCACACCACGTGTCTCGGACATTCATCATTAATGTTGTAATAAATCCTGAGTCCATTATTCATGATGAATATGCAGTGTTAGAAGAAAAAAAATATTAAAGAAAAAGGGTAAATGGATTGCTTGAGAATCGTGTAAGTTCACTTTCCGAACTGATATTTCGACCGTAATGTATGGGTATCATAGGATAATCCTCGAAACACTTTCGAATTTAGACGTAAAAACGAAAGCCAAATTACTGGAGAATATTTTGAATGTTCAGATTTTTCAACTTCCCAAAACTGGTGTATATCTCGTATATATACCTGTTCCATTCGAAAAAAATGGATAAGATTAACATAAATGATGGTTTTGGGGAAGTTCGAATCAGTTATAGACGGTATAACCGTTAATGGATAAAATCGTAGGTTTGTTAAACGTGCAGGTCCAGAAATCTGAACACACATGTCCAGAGATAGGACTAAGACCAACCAGTGATAGGACTATCTCTGGACTTGACTTGTCCAGAGATTGAAGCTCTAAGTCTGGATACCATGTAGTCGATTTTACTAAGTCTGAATATCACATGATCGAACCTCAAAACTGATCAGAAATGATGTATCTCTTCATTCTGATCACGTCTTCCTACTGCATTCCAAGTCCAAAATTCTGTGGAGGTTTTGAGGCGCTGCCCCTTGACTCCCGCCTTTTTTTCGTGTACGAATCAAACTCGTGTTATATACAAGCGTGCACTCTACACTGCTCACTGAATAAATTGTTGCATACGATACCGTTTTGACGGACTAAAATCTTACCCTATAAGTAAATAATAGTGCTAAATTTTAGTTGTAAGCGCTTACCAGGTAAGTGTTTGATGAACGCCGCTTGTACTAATAAACCCCATAAAGGAATATTGATACTTACCCAAAGGGCACAGACGAACCATAAAAGTTCAATTCTTTTGCATATGTAAACATCTTTGAACTACAAATTGAAAATTACACAATGAATCAAAATTCTTGTACATATATTCCACTTGAAGATGGGATTTGGAGGATACCTATCATCAACCAACAAGTAGAACAATCATTTCTGTGAAGACCTCTGACTAAAAAGGCATGTTTTACTCGATTGAATGTATGCGGCGATGAACTTGGACCCTTAGGGTCAGTAGGCTAAAGGTCGGAACCACGGTTAACCCTTAGCCTTAATCGGAACCATGGTACATGACTAAAAGAAAATTGTGCTTTACACTCTACTAGATTTAATCAGTTGTAGCAAATATCTAGATCCAAATGCTCCCGAAGGCTTCCTCGAGGGCTCGTTTTCTGCTTAATTCTAAGCTCCATCCTCCAGCCTTTCCGCCACGTTCGGCTTTTAGTCTCATCATCTCTTCATCGTCCATATGATAAGCATGCAGGTCGTCCCCAGATCCTACTGGGAGAGGTTGTGTAGGTCGAGGTTGTGGAATCGTTCCTCCAGCAACTGCAGGGACGTAATGCCCATCAGAAGTCGTCACCCCAAACTGAGAGCTTGTGCCTGTCGTCTGTCTCAAACAAGAACAATGATTTGTTATATGAAAACGTACAAAACCAAATCAAACAAGCACAGTATCCTCCTCGAAGGTATGCAAAAGTGGTAGTGAATTAATCCGCCAGGTCCATCCGCCTTCCCTTCCTTAAAATAGATTAGCGCTTCTAGTTTTATTAGGGTGCATTTGGTATGCGGGACAGTATAAGACATGACAGAACAAAAAGTTATCCCACGTTTGGTGCACCATTTAGACTGGGTCAAGATAGGAGTGAGGGGAACAAAAAGCAGGAGATGAGACAAACTTGGTAAATTATTAAATTACCCATGTCAAATTTGTACCCTAAAACCTTTCACAATTCTTTCACCCACCTACCTCACTCTCACCCGTCCAGCCCTTCCCAGACCAGTCTTGCACAGTCCTCTCTGCGTACCAAACTCGCCCTCAAGGAAGGTTCTAACCATGTTAGACATAAAGGGTAGACACCACACAGCCAAAACTACAGAAGGAAGTCGGATGAAATTATACAGCTACGAGAAACAGGATAAATAACTAAGATATAAAAGAGCAAACACATGAAAAAGAAAAAATCCCATCATTGAAGATAAGAGATAATCTGTCGCTGTGAGCACCCTCCCCCCCTAAAAAAACACCGATAAAGAAGCCTTATTATGTGTCACTTGTCCTTAATTGCTGTCCCCCAACCAAACCAAAAGTGGTCTCCTCATGGTGTTAGCTAGCATGCATAAAATGAATACCTAAGCAACGTTTAAGTAACAGACTGGCAATTGGGTTGTTGCAATTACGGATTGGATGTCTAATTGTCGATCCAATTCAACCAGTTAAACTGGAATCAGTCCAAAAAGCAGCCTAGTTGACCCACTTAAACAGTAGTCACATCCGATTTAACCACTGGACAAGCACTCAGACCACCGATCCAACCAGAGTAACCAGTAAGATTCAACAATTACAACGGTTGACAATCTTACATCCTGTGTCACCCGTTTGCTGTAAACCTGTTCTAGATTTTCGTTATGTAATTGTAGTTGTCTATAATGAGCTTTGTTCCCCTTGTCCCCTTGCTTGGATAACCTATCTCCCTTTCCTCTATAGCTTGTTCTATTTATTTGTTCTGCAAGCCAGAGGTCTTCATGGATAAGCCTCTCTACCGGGTCCTTTTGTTGAATGACCCTTCAGTCAATTTTCTTTTAAATCCATGACCTTCTAACATGTTTGAGAATGCCACTGCTTAAAAGAAGAACGTCACTTCCATATACAAGGATGTCACTAAACTTGTCAGAAGGTTATGTTGTGAAATAAATTGTTTAAGATCAATAGCTTAGATAGTCTTTCTCTACCCCCTGGGGTAGAGGTAAGGTCTGTGTACATCTTACCTTCACTAGACCCTACCTCTGGTCGGAATTCAATGGGTTTGTTTGGTTTGGTTTTTTAAAGGTTGCCAATTTTAAACTTCATCGGCAATCCATTGCTAGTTAATAATTATGGGATGATATTAACGGAAAGCAGTACTTTACGCTTCATAAGAGGCAACAGACGGCTCCAGCATGTTAATAATTAAAATATCTTGTGATATTAAAACATAGCACTCATAAATTATCGCCTCTAACAAACACATTTGCTTTTTACACCTCTCTTGATGCGTAATTTCCTTGTATTTATAACTAGCTTAACATTACTATAAACAAACAAATGATTTATGGGTTTTTACATACTTGCTTTAAATGCACCAGCTAGAAGAGGAGACTTGTACCAAGAGGAGGATTTGGAAGAGATAGAGGTTGGTAAACATTGACATGCAGTTGGTAATAAAGCAAGATTTTAGTAAATGGAATACCAAGGGACTTGGTCTTAGATAGGGCATAGGAGTGGAGGGAAGGACGTATGTCGTTCATGGCCTAAAATCTGGTGGTTTTACCACTTGCCTATTATGTTTTAAGCTTTCTATGTGATTTGACCACTTACTATTTCTTTTGATTGTGTATACAGTTTCTGCTTTCAGAACCTACAAATGTAGAGAAACCATGATCAGTTTTCTTCTGGTTCTAATAAAGGGGTCCACCGGATTGATTTTCCAAATTAAAAAACCTGTGCCATGGGTCTGGACAAGCCAGCCTCTTTTCTCACCCTCATGAATTACTTTCAGCAAAGGAACTTTTAGTTTATAAATGAGCAAAATAAAGAACCAAGATCATTGGCATCAGTTTTTGCAGTTCTACAAGCCTTCCATCTGCCATTCTGATTGGAATCAATCAAATAGTTTATAAAAGATATTGTATAAAATTTCATTTTTCCTACATTTGCACACCCTGCTAATTTCTGTAGGAAAACATATGGTGAACAAATGGGAATGTATACAGTTAGGTAATGGCTTCCCTGCCACCACTGTTCTTAAGATAACAACACCTTTCTTTCATGCATTAGGAGTAAGCCATATTCTTACTCCACAATAGTTGGTTTACCTGCTGGGGACTTCAAAAATGGTGGCTGGCCAGAAGAAAGAAGCTAAGAGGTTTGTTTACAGATGTTGCAATAAGTGTGATTATGAGTCAAGCAAGTGCACCTAATTTGATTCCCTTTCATTTCATAATTTGTCTGAAAATGAGCAAGCATATGAAGCCCAAACGTTTAGAAGTGGTGCCAATAGCCTAACTGACATGTCTACATTCATAGTTCATGCACTTTCCACGCCCCAACTAAATATACTTAATCACACGCATCAGTTACGATCATGTTTATCATCCAAGGGGTGTATTAAGAAGGCATATGACAAAGGGTTTGCTCCTATTTACCTCTTTGACCAAAGCTCTAAAGATTGAGACTGAGACATGGTCATTTGTTACTCTTTAGATTGGTCAAGAACACCAATCCACTATCAACCATCACAATGTGATCATTATTATTTTTATCATAACGAGTTAAAGCAATGTTGACCAGGTCTCAAAACTAGATATCAGCAGCAACAGGAAAACTAACCATATCAACATCAGTCTGTGCAGCTTGTCCCTTGCTTGCTGCCAGTGCTGCTGCATATTCTTCAGCCTACTTGATCAAGAAAAACTAAGTAGTTAGTGCAATGTGAGATGACAAATCCAACCAATTTCTAGCATTCACCATTTACAAACCTTACGAGCTTGAGCATTCATTATTTGTTCTGCATTTTCTTTTTGGTAGTGTGCAATCTTTGCTTCAATAGCAGGAACATCCATTCCCTCAACCAAGTTAACAACTGGAAAAAAATGGATGCAAGTGAAAATGGCATTCCTAACTTGGGTGTCATAAAAGATGAGTAGAGAATAACTTACTCATGTCCTCAACTTCCTCCAAGTAGTCATTATACTCTCTTAATGATGAAAAATCCTCCACTCTTTTATTAAATCTGTAAAATCATAAGATAATGATATTATGCAAAACAAGGATCACAAGCCGCCTGTTTTTCAGTCCTAGAGTAAACATCAAATTGTGGCACATATAAAACCCAAGATAAACCAAACAAACCAACCCAACATATCTCACTTGAAAGGTGGGGCATGTACGCAGACCCGTCCTCTACCCCGAAGAGTAGAGTGGTTCTTTCTTAGAAGGCCACCGGTTCGAGTGTGAACAAACAGGTAGAAGGAGCAATGACTAGCACATAGTAATCCCAAGACGAGAAAAAATGAGTAAAAAAAATTAAGTAGGTACATTGACAACATAGGAAAGGTAAGATAAATCAAAAAACACATAGAAAAGGTAAGACAAAACACATCCCTATATCCCCTCTTTACTGACTCGGGCGACCTATATGCCAGCTCTCTAGCCCCCCTCGGGTCCGACCCTCAACCTCACCAGCTCCCTTCTCTGATCCATGCCTACAGGTCCCCACACCTCGTCGCCTACCCTAGCCCTTCATCTCCAAGTGTACCTATCAGAGGTCACGTTCTCATAAACTGTCTAATGCCGCCATGTCTATCTTCGGTTGCTCATCCCTATCCTGAGCCTTCCCCTCTTCCTCGGCACCTCGATCATCACGTTTTTTACTCTCCTCATTGATACTGCCATCAGTCTCCTACGAATCGCCTAAACCATCACAATATCCACTCTCTTAGTTTATCCATGATAGGCACAAATTCCAACTCTGCATGGAATGCCTCATTCGGGATTATGTCTAACATGGTCCTACCATAGGTCCATCTAAGCATTCTCATCTCCATAACTTCCAACTTTCTATCATCGACCATCATTCCGGCCCATACAGCATAGTTGGTCGAATGGCTACCTTGTAGAATTTGCACTTCAGTTTTAGTGGGACCTTGTCAAACAACACCCGTGGCAATTTACCACTTCAGATGCCATGCCTTTATGCGATGCACTATGTCTTCCTCAACCTCTCTCTTTTTTTGAATCATGAAACCTAAATACTTGAAATTGTCCTTTTTAGGTACCCTTTACCCCCCAAAGTTAATTTCTACCCTTTCTTCAATGCCCCCCCCCCCCAGGCGGAAAAAATGCACCATATTATTATGTATTAGAACGACAAATACGCAAGCTTTGTGTTTCCAAAGCCATCATCCACTGCTTCAACCTCTCACTGAATTCTACTTTTCAACTCTGCTACTAACACAATGTCATTAGCGAATAAGATACACGATGGGACACTCCCCTGGGTACCTCACGAAAGCTCATCCAAAATCACAGCAGAAAGGAATGGTCTTAGCATTGATTCTTGGTATAGCCATTTCTCCACTGGAAAATACTTCATCTTACCCACGGGTGTCATAACACAAGTCTTCATTCTCCCGTACATGTCCTCTATCGCCCTAACACACCTACATGATACGCCTCCCCTTCTTCATACTCCTCCAAATCACGTCTCATGGAAAGCTATCATAGGATTTCTCTGATCTATGAACAGCATGTGTAGGTCCCTTACTATACTTCTTTGTCAACCACTACATACTTGTCTTACCCTTACCCATCTTCCTCAGTGTCTCCCTCACTTCTCCTATCCTAATTATTCATCCATAGATTGTATGGTTGATGAAGTACCTCTATCCCTTCTCCCTCCCTCTCATTTTCCCTTGCCTCATTAAATAGTTTATGGAAATAACTACCCCATCTCTCATTAAATTAATCCAATAAGTTAATGCAAAATTACTAGTTTGATTATATCAAAATCTCTTGCAACCTTCCTACAAGCGTCTAGACATAATTCCCAACATTAGCCATAAGTACTACTTGGTTCCTTATAGTAAACAATGATTTGCAGAATAAGTTGCTTAGCTCTTTCATTTTTCTAATGCGCTTTCTCCAAGTACCATCATCATCTATATCATCATATCCTTTATATAAAAAATTGATCACACCAAAGACAAAAACTTCATCAATTCCAAGAACACTGCCTCTAAATTCTTCATTTATCTTTTTCCCAAATCTAAAGAATGAAAGGCATAAGACCAGCAAGAACAATCATAATAAACTTTCACTGTGGAATGCATATATCCCAAATGCAAAATGGATATGAATTTCACAATGGATCTGATACAGACATCATTTTCGCAGAGCTTGCTCTAAAGTTCAATGCAGTTACCGATTTCCTCTGGCAAGCTTAGAATCCATCTCTTTAAAGTTGAACTTTAACCTATTGACATTCAAAGTAGAAGTGTAGTTTTTTGGGAAGAGATGAACCACTATATTCTAGTATACATATGATGATTGATGAACCAAATTCAATCAAAAGCAAATATGCTCAAACTATATAGAGTACAAGCTACTGCCTTTTAATATACCCCTAAAAAATTCGATCCAACAGATTGTCCGGGTTGAATTCCAAAGCTCACACCCTATAATTGAATCAATAGGATAACCTACACTAACAAAGAGAGAAGGAAAAGAAATTTGTGATGATTACATGTTGCCGATTCGTTTCCGGATGGTCATCTCCTTAGCGAAGGAGTTGGCACCCGATGCCACCACCATGTCTTGTAATTGTGATTGTTTTCCGATGGGATTCGGCGGAACAGCGTGGAGGGCGTAGAGGAATGGCGGAGGCCAAGTTGCTACTAAAAGCAGGTTTCGAGGGCTGTTCCAAAATGTGGTGTTTTTGTGTGAGGCATGTGATATAATTTGTTAGATTCAAGGGGTGTTTGGATGTTTTATAAAAATAATTTATTAGAACCGATAATAAGCACTTTTGAGTGTTTGGATAAACAAGAAGTTTTTGAAGAAGTTAAACTCTTCTAATTTATAATAAGTTAACAAGTGCTTTTATAGAAAAACAGTTTCAAATAAGCAATCCCAAACACCCCCAACTTCACAGTAAAATGCTATAAAGTAAAAAGAAGCCGAATTTTCTCAATAAAGGTTACCTTCACGGTATTTGCTATGAAGTTTCAAATATAAAAGTATTGTCTCACACATCTCATAAAAACAGTCTTATCTTACATGATATCAAATCTATAAAAAATATAAAAAAATAGTTTATTATCAGGATAAATAAAATTATGTGATTATGAGATTATTTATTATTTATTATTTATTTAATTATTTAATTATAGAATTTTGGACACTAAACTTCAAAAATAGGTATAAAAGTCGTATGTATTTTTAAAAGCGTTATAAATATCATGTATATTCATCATGTTATAAATTTATTTTGAGTAAATTATATGTTTTGTGACTATACGTTTTATTGGATTCTTGTGAGAAGAAGAGTTAAAATGAGAATCGTAAGAATAGATTTCCACTCTTAGACGTACATTAGGATGAGATACAGAGAAATCAATCTCCATATCAAGTGTGATTCATAGGTGGATTTAAGATTAAAGGTGATTAAGGATCCAGATCCCTGTTTACATTTCTCACATGATCATTCACCTATGTTTTTGGTAGTCCTTATTTATCATTCTGAAAACTCAACAAATCGTGTCCCTAGTCTGCAATTTTACAAAGAGACAATTTTACATGTTTATTAATACTAGAAGAGTACTCGTGCAATGCAGCGAGACATATGTCGATTTTAATGTTCTATTTTATTATTTGTCTTTATCGATATTATAATACGATTTTATATATTTTTAAGAAAGCAATAATGATTTTATTTTTGAATAAAATATAAATTTGAAGATATAATGAAATTTTGAAAAAAAAATATCTATGTTAATATCAAATCAACTATTTAAAAATTCTCATTTTTTATGTAATTTAATTTTAGTTTAATAACCAACTAATTTATTTTTGGTTTAATAAAATATTTTTTTAAGATAATAATTAAAGTATTTTGTTAGAACTCAATAATTATCTTAATTATATTTTAGNTAATTTATTTTTGGTTTAATAATATAACATTTTATAAAGATAATAATTAAGTATTATTTTAGAATTCAATAATTATCCTAATTATAGATTTTTTATATTTAAAATAAGATGTTTATCTTGTATTTTATATTATGTTATCTGCAATTAGTTACACGAATTCAGATATGAAGTTTTACTAAGTTGTACTTATGCACAATCTACTTGTAATCTTGAGTTTTAAGTAATATGCATTAATAAACAGTACTTTACGCATAAAAAATGGTTTTTAAGAGTTGTTGTCAAATGTTTTATAATATAGTATAGATATATGGGAAGGATACAAACGAGAACATCTTCATTTTATGAAAACGCGAGAAAGCTTTTTTACTATAGACAATCACATATGATACTATTCTTCCATCAGATATAATACACATGTGATACTAAAGCAGAGACGCGGACGATTTTCGATGCGATCTTGGTTGCGGGCCAAGTCGCCCTTACACCACTAAGCCCCTCACAAGTATTATCACATGTGATAAGGGTGTTGTTGATATGATATTATAATCCACCAAGACCATCACATGTGATGCTAAATCATAGACGCGGACAACCTTTGGCACGGCCTAAGTCGTAGAACACGACGTCCGCACATCACAGGGTCCCCTCACGCATATTATCACATGTGATAAGGGTGTTTTCGCTTCTAAACCTCCACCTATTATACATCCTTTGCATTTGGAAACCTAATTGTAGTTGCAATTTATGTAGCAAGAAGATCTGATATCATCCAACAATAAAAAGGACAAAACATCTCTAAACATTTTCATCAACATAAACATCTGCTGCTAAAACAACTCACCTATATAAGAAAATAACACAGCTTCATTTCTACCACAACGCTCTCGGGATTTTTCATGAATGCTCGATACCGTCATATGAACACTTCCAAACCCCTATCAAACGACACCACCGTCACTTCAATATCTCGCCGTTCTCCGAGATGTCGAACAAGAACCGAGGGAGAGACGCTATGCGCGGAAGCTGATGCACCAATTCAGCAAACGAATCCTTTCTTGACATACCCGATCCAGAAACGTTTTCGTCTTGTGGATAGGACTCAGGGTTAGAATTGTCATTTCCATCTTGCTGACCATTTGGATGATCCTCAGGAAGCATTGTTGACAGACCAACAGTACCATCTTCAGTCATATTTCCAGCATGCATTAGATTAGTATCAAGGGTAGAACTGTCATTTCTATCTTGCTGACCATTCCGATGATCCTGAGGAAGCTTTGATGACTGACCAATAGTACCATCTTCTTGAGTCCCAGATCCAGAAATTAGATTAGGATCAAGGGTAGAACAGTCATTTCCGTCTTTTTGATAATCCTGAATAAGACAGCAGAGGGAATTGACTCTTGACATGAGAGTTTTCTCATCTGAAGCTGCTGCTGTCAAATGGTTGTCACTAAGCAGAATCTGCGAAATGTTTGCTAACATATCTTTCGGGGTTTCCTGTCCTGAGACATGATTGTCGGAAAATGGTTGATTCCGGAAGGGTTGTTGCTCAGAAAGACCGTTTACAAGATCAGATACTGAAATGGTTGCCGGGAGCTGGGGTATCGTCATCTGTTCCATGTCTTTTTGCCCCTCAGGATCTGTAGGCATGACTGAGGAATAAAAACAGCCTAAAATCATTGATATATATATACACACACACACATATATATATATATATATATATGTATGTGTGTGTGTATGCATGGATAGATACATGCATATAGCCGGTCCATTAGAAATCCCACAGTTATGTACAAAAGGTATGGACTAATCACGAGTGCAAGCAGTTCGGTTAAAAGCAAAACCATGAACGAAACCGCACCAAACTGCGCAACTTCAATTTGTTGGTTGGGTTCCAAGGTTTAGATAGCTTACTACAAATTAGATTAAGGGGCTGTTTATCAAACATTTACCCGGTAAGTGCTTACCGGTAAAATTTAACATTATTATGTACTTACCGGGTAAGACTTTAGTCCACCAAAACAACATCGTATGCAACAATTTACCCGGTAAGTGCTTACCATGGTAAGAGTCGTCGCCCTCACTTACCGGGTAAGACTCTTGGTCCTTGTCTCGCTCTTACCGGGTAAGATTCTTGGTCCTTACTATATTCCTCCGATGAGGTAATGTTACTTGGTAAGCGCTTACCCAGGTAAGCATTTGGTAAACGGCGCCTAAGCAATTTTTGTAGAAAAATGATTCTAATGTGAGATATATTTGTTTAAGCTTCAATCTCTTAAAACAAACTATGCATTATATTTATGTATTATAAATACAGCAGGATTAGTTTCACTGTATTTAGATAGGTTAAGTAAATAGAATTTCCAAAAATATTTTACTCAATAATACAGGTACCAAACGAATATTTTTTCCGAGAAAGAGCCAAACACTTGACTTATGCACTAATACAGATGTTGGAATCCATGCCCATATCAATTACTCCTCCAGTTCCAGAATAAATACAACATATCCTTTTAGATGTGGCGAAAATAAATGCAAGATTGTCTTTTTCTCAAAGTCCCGATCCAAATTTATCCACTTTTTGATTAGTAACGATCACCGTTCACCAAATACTAATAATGTAGATTTTGATACACAAGAATCCCATATATTGAAATATTAAGCATCAAGCAAAATTATGTAGAATTATGTATTTAATTTGGCCAGAAGGAGAATTTCCGAAAGTATACTATTGAAACGTCAATCTTTTCAGTAGAAAAGGTACCTGAACTGGAAGGGTGAGCTGCTTTGGACAAATCTTGATCGATCAAACCAAGAGAACTCGATTCCAGAGGTGTCAACGAACAAGTCTGTAAAGTAGATGCTAAAGTCATATTTGCGATACCATACATATCTGGTAGGTTAAGGATACTATGCCCTGATATGTCTTGATTCGTAATGGAAGGTTTTGGTGCAAAATATGGAAATTCCAAAAATATATCTTGCTGTTGGCTCAGAAACTGGAGTCGTGTATCGCAATTGATCAGCTTTTCATAGTGCTTTTCTAGCACACCTTGTGCACATTGTAGTAAATGTTGCCTGCAGAAAACAGTTGTAAGTACCTACTTTCCAATTCTGCCCTTAACTATGAGATGGAGAAATTCATCACTCTCTTTATTATAGGGTAAAATTGTCATTTAGTTAATTAGGAATTGTAATGATCATACATCTCTAAAACTGTCTTTTCATCGTGAACATATTTTTTTTGGGACGGATGGGTATATTGTAACTAAATCCCAGGTAAAGAAAAAGGTAAACGGAAAGTTGTACTAAGGCTCCTAGACTTTGCGACAGTTGAGGAGAAAAGTCTTTCTCGCTAGCCATTATATTGCACGACACAGAAGTTTCATGAGTCAAACTGGTGACATCCCGATTAGGGGTGTATCTGAGACTATCTGAGCACAAGCTTGCTTGCCTCGTGAAAAACTTGGTAGACTCGGGGTCAGCTTGTGGCTTGTTGAGCTTGACAAACTCAAGCTTGGGCTAGACTTGCCAAAATCCCTAATTGGCTACTCGGCTCATATATGCCTGTATATGCTTCTATCATATAGCCTTGGTTCACATAGGTTACATACTCTTATAGACTTGACCTTCACAAGCCAGTTACTTATGGTCCTAAATGACTGAATGAGTAGATTTACAAGAAGCAGAAAAACTGTTTTCACGGAAGAATTCATACAGATTTGGTGATGAAATTAGTGGCATTTTCTTTACATCAAGGCCATTAAAAGATTAATATAAAAAGCTGGTAAGGTTATACCTATGTGTGCTCGCTTCTCCATCCGTAAAATCTGAACTTGCCCGCCACTGCGTGTGTTTTCTAGGCTGCGGGTTGATTTCTTTGAAGAAGAGTGGTTGTTTATCAAGCTGACAATAAAATGGTACTATGTGAATGCACATCAACAAAGATATTAAATATACGGGATACAAGAGTAAGGAAAAAGATAACTTCACCACAATAGTCAAAGTTCCAAGCCCATCAGCTGCAGTGTTTGCCTTCAAAGCCATGATATCTGCCCAATTGATTTCGAACTTTTTCTTTAGTCCACCATCAAGAATCTCCCATACGATCTTATGCTTTGAAAAGTAACATTTTGCCACTAAATCTCCTTCATTTTTTGACACATACTGTCACAGAAACAAGTTTTGACATCAAAACCCTTTAAACGCATTCCCAATATGTAAAAGTAAGAGTGTAAGATCAAATCAAGACAAATACCTCCCATTGCCCAATTCTTAAAAGTAAAGCTGGAAAATGAGAAGCCTTTAACTTATCAGCGGAAGCTGAGGCCCTGGTCCTTGACCTTGCCCTTAAATCTCTATTGATTTCTGCTTCAAAATCTTCAGCAGGCAAATCACCCTTATCAGTATTGCATTGGTTGAGCCTCTTTTGAGCTAGCTCCAACAACGATGGACTCTTCCTTAACCGCAAACCCAAGGGACTCGGTTCACTGAGTGGATTGTACTGATATTGTGGGGTTAGAGGCCCGCTGTTGTTAAGCTTCAATTGCTAATCAAGAAATAAAACACGTTGTCAGAAGATCATTCCAATTATGATTTTGACAATCCCCAGCAGGTCAACACAATTGAAGCCATAATAGTATGGTACATCTGTTCGTTCAAGGTATAATAACGATGGACCATATTTGCCAATTAGTGTCGACTGTTGACTAAATGATCCTACAAGGTAAATTGGTAAATGTAACTTCAAAGATATATCTACAAAAGGTTGTGATTCTTGTGGGCATTGGAAAATCATGTTGCAAATCTTGTGTGATGTAGGGTGTATAACTTTCTCATGAAACCACTGAAATACCTATGTGGAACCTCTACCATTCTTTTGTTTACAAAACGTACAGGCTTGATGTTAGAAAACAAGACGTGTCTCTTTTAGGAACATATGAAGCATTAGATAACAATGAAGAAAGAAATAAAAATAGAAACCAAGTTAGTTTCGGATGACGACAATTTCCACCGCTAATAACGTGATCCTGTCACAAGTATTATGATGCACTAAATCTTTACTTTTAGTAGTTCTTTTCGTGTACGCTTAATTGTACAATGCTGACAAGTTCCACCGCTTACAAAGCGGTTCACGTGAATTGTGACGTTGAATCATGAATCTACAGTCTTTTCTACACTACTTCAATTGTAGAATGACGTTAATCACAGCCCCTCACCACCGTCTATGAAGCGGTTCCTTTATTGAATCATTAATTTTGGTGGACTCTTCTGTAACTGCATTTTCTTTCAATTGGATAAAGCCCTTAAGTTCATCTCATGTATGATAACTACAAGATCATAACGGGTGCCTCGTATAGAATCAAGTCAATTTTAAATTCGCAACAAAATTGATATCAATCTTTCATTTTAAAAGTTACATGTTTGGCATCAAAAATCAAAATGTAGCTGTTGTTTTATCACCAAAGTTGTATGTATCGTCTTAACATAAAATTTTGTCCATGAACCCAAGTAAATCACTCAATCACACATCTACAATATCCTTAACTTGCATCAACTTTTCATCAACTTTTAAGTAAAACTAAAACCATCAATAAATGTTGCAAAAAAGAATCACTGTCCATGTATTGCTTGGCAACGCTTTCCGTTTTTGCTTTTTATCCCCAAATTTCAAAAAGGATGTATCAAACCTGATAGAATAACCATGTCTCGTAGCCACTTACGATTGAAAAAGAATTTTTTTTGCTAATCATACATGTACACAAAACAATACAAGTTAATTAACAACCTCAGGTAATTCTATCAAAAATCGCTAATCATTCTAAAAAGATAAATACACAAAAAAAAATTAACAGCAAAGTTATAGAAAACAATTAACCTGAGTAGCTGTTTGAAAAGATGATGATGATGATGATGATTTCCACCGTTTAGGAAGCGGTCCGTCATCAGCAATCTGTTGAAAGCACATCGAATTCTCTTCTCCGGCGAACAATTTCGCTTCCGGCTCCGGCAATTGCCAGACATTGTTGTTCTCCGAAGACGACATGAACTGAACCATTAACAGATTATACTGTGGAGTTTCTTCAATGAAATCAAACAATCGCTAGGGGAGAGGCCGCACAAAATCTGAATGCAAAAACCCTTAGATTCAAACGACGAACTTGCGAATTTTATTTTTATGGTTCAAATATGGCAAGGATTCATACGGAGATTCTGAGAAACCGAGAGAAAAAAAGATGAATGCAGAGTGTGTAAGGTGTTGCTACGTGTAATATACCCTTAAGTGACTTAAATTACTGAAATACCCTTGGTCGTCTTTTAAGCAGGTGATTACCAAACACTTATTCGGTAAGTGTTTATCGATAAACTTTAACACTATTATTTATTTATCGGGTAAGATTTTAGTCCATCAAAATGACATTATATACAACAATTTACGCGGTAAACGCTTACCGTGGCAAGAGTCGTCGTCTTCACTTACTGGGTAAGACTCATGGTCTTTGTCTCGTTCTTATCGAGTAAAATTCTTAATCATTATTATATTCATCCGATGAATTAATGTGACTAAAAGCTTACTGGGTAAAGGTTTGGTAAACGGCCCCTTAAATATTCATAAAAAAATTATGCGAAAACACGAAAATTCGTAAAGTATATGTAAAATATATATTTTTTAAACAAGGAAATTCAAAAAAGGGAAAATGAAATAAAAAATTACTTTAAAAAAGTTTAGACATAAATCATTGTTTCTTAGGGGCTATTTACTAAACGCTTATCCAGTAAGTATTTATCGGATAATTTTCTTCATCGGATGAACATGGCAAGGGCCAAGAATCTTACTCGTTAAGAGCGATGATAAGGATGGAGAGTCTTACCCGGTAAGTGAGGGTGATGACTCTTATCCGAGTAATCGCTTACCAGGTAAATTGTTGTATATGATAGGTTTTGATGTACTACAATCTTACTCAATAAAATAAATTATAGTGTTAGACTCCTAACGTTAAGCACTTATCGGGTTATCATTTAGGTAAACGACCCCTTAGAATACTTTTTTACAAAGTTCTTAAAGTTTTGTTTTTTTTAATGCAAAAATATAAAAAACAAAAATTTATATATAAAAAAAAGTAAAGTTCGTGCGTAAATTATATCTATTTCAGAAAACCGTTTGACTAAAAGTGACTTAAAATGACTATTTGTGTAAATTTTTCAGAATTTAAAGCATCTTCAACAAATATGTTATATTTTTTTAAACATAGTATTAAAAGTCAAAATCTCTAAAAAGAATATATTCAACTCCAATAACTACTCACTTTATTTTAGGAATTCTAACATTAATTATATTATTAAAATATTTATTATATTTAATAAAATATTATTATATTCTAAACATTTATTATAAATATTTCTTATTAGTGGAAATTATTAAAATAATATATCTCTTTCTATTTAGAGATTTTTTACGATATATATTCTCTTTTTTCTATTTTAACATATAAGATAACATAGTTGTTGGAGCAAAAAAACTGTTAAAATCTCTTTTTTCTTTATTTTAACATAACTGTTGAAGATCCTCTTAATACAATAGATTTTAAAAGGCATTTTCAACAATTATAATATTATTTTTTTCTAAAATAGAGTATATAAAATGAAATTTCTTAAAATAATGCTTCGACTCTAATAGTTACTTTATTTTACCAATTTCAACATTAATTGTATTTTTAAAATAGTCGATAAATCTATCATACCAGTGCATTTTTTAGAAAGTTGTAACACATCCAACTTAACTGGTGAAAACAATTAAAATAATATATATCTATATACTATATTATAAAACATTTGACAAAAACTCTTAAAAACTATTTTTTATGTATGAAGTATTGTTTATTTATGCATATTACTTAAAATTCAAGATTACAAGTAATTGTACATAAGTACAACTTATTAAAGCTCTATGTTTGAATCCGTGTAACTAACTGCGAATAAACATAATCAAATATAAGATAAATATATCATTTTAAAATATAAAAAATATAAAAATAATTAGGATAATTATTGAATTTTAACATAATACTTGATTATTATCTTTATAAAAATTATATTATTAAACCTAAGTCAAGTTAAATTAAATTATAATAAAAAATTGAATTAAAAAATACTAGTTGTGTACCCGCGCAATGCGGCGGGAGTCATGAATTTTAATGATTTTGAAGTTTAACTGGTTTTATAAGATAAGATTTAACAATGATATATGTTACACTTGGTCTTTACATATTAATATAATTTGAATAAATAAGAGTTATGGTTCCAATTACAGACTATCGATGAAAAAAATTGTATGACAGTTAAAAATCTAATATATTTAAAATCCAACATATTTAAACGACTTCACAAATGTGTTTGATTTACACAAAGAGCAAAGAACCAAAAAACTTGAGTTTTAAGATAAACACTCAAAACCAATAAAGAAAACTACAAATTTGACATATCATAAGCCATGAAAAGACCAAAAAAAGATGGGTTTTATAATGAAATTTCAACTGTTTACCCTCTTTTTTATTCAGAAACTCAGATTAAGTTGATTTAATACATGTATATATATATATATATATATATATATATATATATCGATACTATCTTATAAAGCATTTGGCTAAAACTCTTAAAAACTCTTAAAACTCTTAAAAACTCTTAAACTCTTAAAAACTCTTAAATCTGTTCATCCCTATCCGAATTCATCCCATATCTGAATTCGTGTAACTAACTGCAGATAAACACAATCAAATACAGGATAAACATCTCATTTTAAATATAAAAAATCTAAAATATAAT